AGTAGCCATAACACACAGCAGTTAAACATTATGACAATGAAATAAAAGCCAATAATAAATACAAAACTCAAATCCTCAAAACTGAGTCACTGCAAGAACTGCTCTGTGGCCAAACACCTGTGCACCCCAAATTCCACAGGTGTGCAGATGGAGCAGTGGGAGTGTGTCGAGGGGGAGACACCTGCACATACAGACACCTTCATGATTCCTCTTGTGTTCACTCCCTTATGCTTCTTCTTTTTGTGCAGCATACAAGTATAATTACACTAACTATCTACAATTTACAATCTGATTAAAAACAAAGTTAATGGAATAAAAATCAAAGTTGCATTTTTACTTTTGCTATTGGTTGAAACAAATATAACAAATTTAATCACTATCTTATAAATATCTATCCGTATATTTATAGATACAAGTGTTTATACATGTGTAGATATTTCTTCTCCATAAAAGAACATCATACAAGAGTTCATTCCAGGCCACCACTGTAGTTTTAACCGAAGCCAAGTCAGTTCTGGAATATTTCCCCAGTTATAACAACAATAATGATAACATTAATATTACCAAAACAATAATAACAATATCAATAATAATAACAATTACTAACATATGCATCAGACACCTCAAAGATATTTGTAAGATAGGCCTAATCACTCCTCAAGAATTCCTCAAAAACTATGCAGAAAGAAACCCCTAAAGTCTGAAAAACTACTTCCAATAACTCTAACTGAATCTATAAACAAACAAACACACCCATGCACATACACATTCATTCTCTCTCACACATGCAAACTCACTCACTCTCTCTCCATATTTCACATTCTGCAACAACAAGAAAAACAAAAACAACACCTAACATAACTGAAACTAGACCTACACTATTGCAAGGCATCATACCCTATCAATGCACAAACTGTACCACATGCCATACAGCACAGTGTCCACAGCACCACTAATCAAGTTGGACACATGTGACACTTAGGCTATAGGGACAGAGATTACTGGGGGTTAAAATGACACCGTAAAGTAACACTGTGAAATGCATATGATCTTGTACAAGTTAGTGTTCTAGGCCTATACAAACAAAATGTAGGGCTATACACACTATATTCAGAAGATGAATGTAGCCTCAACAGACAGAACAAGTAAAAAATAAGAGAAAAATATCAGAAAAAAAGAAATAAGAAATGCCTAGGCTCATTATGGCAAATATCAGACTTCAATCGCTATACTAACTACATAACCAGTAAGCACCCAACCTGAAACACCATATGATAAGAATGTAAATGAAAACTGATAATCACCAATTTGAATTTGGACTGTTTGTTGCAATTTCCTTTACCTCATTTTTCTTGTAATTTCTTGACAACAATGTAAATGACAGGCAGGGAGTATTAAGGTTATAAATATACAGCACATATCTTCAGTACAAGCTAAAGCAGTTACGATATTCATTACCTTGTAGTCCTCTGCTCCGGAATATTTTTTGTTAACATCTATGCCTAAACATAACGATAGCAAGTGGAATTATCTAACAAATCACCCTTTGCTATCTGTGAGAAAACTCTAATCTTATCAGTTTCAGACTATAATTTCATCTCTTCCTGATAAAAATACACTGCTATATGTACGTCTGAATACCAATATCTACCATTATCAATACATATAAAGATAATGAGATAAAATAATCACCATAAAAATAAAAATATAAGTACATCATTACAGAATTCAGTAAAAAGAACTACAGACAGAAACTTGTACTAGACCTACCCTATCTTACCTCCAAATGTCTTTATAAAAACAAATATAATACTACATATACTATATCTCTGTCACCATAAGGAAATATATAATTAACCTGCCAATTCTAAGTAATGCGCCAAAGGAAGTGTATGTCACTGGACACTAAGAATGAAAAAATATTATAAATACAGAGCAACACCAAAAAGACAACATACATGTACATAATATTTTCTTAAGAATTTGCAATTTCAGCAAAAATAAAAAACTATAAATAAACTAAATAAACTAATATCTTTGAATGAAGGGAATGTGGAAGAGGAGATAGATGGAGGAAAAGAAGGGAGAGAAGGGAGTGAGGGAGTGAGGGAGGGAGGGGGAGGAGGGAGGAGGGAGGGAGGGGGGGAGAGAGAGGAGGGAGGGGGAGAGAGACAGGGAGGGAGAGAGGGGGAGGGAGGGGGAGGGGAGGGAGGGAGGAGAGGGAGGGAGAGAGGGAGGGGGGGAGAGAGGGGAGGGAGGAGGGAGAGAGAGGAGAGAGAGGAGAGAGAGAGAGAGAGAGAGAGAGGAGGAGAGAGAAGAGGGAGAGAGAGAGAGAGAGAAGAGAGAGAGAGAGAGAGAGAAGAGAGAGAGAGAGAGAGAGAGAGAGAGAGGGGAGGGAAGGGAGGGAGGGAGGGAGGAGGAGGGGAGGGAGGGAAGGGAGAGAGAAGAGAGAGAGAGAGAGAGAGAGAGAGAGAGAGAGAGAGAGAGAGAGAGAGAGAGAGAAGAGAGAGAGAAGAGAGAAAGGAAGGGAAGAGGGAGGAGAGGGAGGGAGAGAGGAGAGAGGGAGAGAGGGAAGAGAGAGAGAGAGAGAGAGAGAGAGAGAGAGAGAGAGAGAGAGAGAGAGAGAGAGAGAGAGAGAGAGAGAGAGAGAGAGAGAGAGAGAGAGAGAAGAGAGAAAGAGAGAGAGAGAGAGGAGAGAGAGAGAGAGAGAGAGAGAGAGAGAGAGAGAGAGAGAGAGAGAGAGAGAAAGAGAGAGAGAGAGAGAGGGGGGGGGAAGCAGGGGTGAGAATCCAGTACTACTTGGACTACTATGAATGATGATGATATTGATAACAATATCAATAATAATAATAATAATAATAATAATATTTATAATAATAATTATAATATTAATAATAATATTAATAACAATTATAATAATAACAAAATCCACTATTTTTCATTCTTCACAATATCTTCAAGTTCATTTAAATCCTCCTCCAGGTTTGCCTTAGCATGAGCCACTAATAGGGCTCTTGCTTGAACCTACCCCAAGTTGCCAGGTAGGGAAGGAAGTACACATTCCTGCGAATGGCCTCTGGCAAACTGATCCTCCCACAAAAGCCAGGAAACCTTTTTATACGTGAGGTAGCATTACATATCTTCCTGGGAATTGTTAAATAAGGAACCACTTTAAGCTCTAACTTGCAACAATATATATATTCAAGGTGTGTTTGAGATGAAGGAGCGGGAGTTACTAATAAGGCATACCGTATTCGTATGCCTGCTGTTGGTACCGGATGTTTGTACCGGCAGCCTGTTCTAAATATACAACTACGCTGTCCGGCACAATGTCATTCAGTATAGTGGGACTCATTGTAACTGAAGGAGAGACCATTATAATGTCTAATTTCAGACTATAGGCCTTCATCATGAGAATTTCAAGGCAGTATGGGTATTAGACAAATGATATAATCATAAATCAAGTTCTCGTTACAGAGCCATGTCAGGTTAATTGGTGCAATTTTGCATCTCTTCTACTGAGACAGAAAAAATACATATAATTAGAAAGAGTAATTTACCCAGTAATTCATAATTTACGCTTCAGATTAATGACTGAAAATGTGATACTCGAGTAAAATGTGAACCACAATGCCACAAAAAGTGCACAAAGAAACTAAAAGAATAACAAACTACATTAAATAACAAATGGCAAAAATAATGAAAACAATAAAACAACAAAATCAAAAGCACTAACATCACCACTCACAAAATTCCAACACATATAGTAAACAGTAAACACAAATGAAACAAACAACAAACAACAAACAACAATAACAAAGTCATTTCTCACTCCATTTCAACCACCTGTTTCCATTCCCTGTCCTTTTCCTTTTCACTAAGGCGATATTTGCCACTATCCAACTCCCGAAAGCCATCGAGGGCGAGGGAACGGGGGAGAGGCGAGAAAACACGGATTCGGGAGGAAAACCACGGATCGGAGATTGTAAATAACGAACTATGGGATCCAATTAAGATTGTTTGGTAACGCGGATCCAAAAGAGAGAGGTCATTAGAGTGAGTGTGGATATGCGAAGGAATGTGAGATTCATGCTGCAAGTTCGGGTTTTAAAGAGAAGAAAGGGTGGAAAATACATGATCAAGCTTCATCGTTACATCCTTTTCCAAAGCGTTTTCTCCGCCAAAACACACCCACCACTATCACTATCGCCATTTTCTCCCTCTTGCCTCTTTTCTCACGAGTAAAATAATCACCACCACTCTGTTGTGCACAAGTAATATTCCTGGTCATAGGATTCGCAACAGGGATGACTCCCGGGGCGAAAATTTCATCGAAAAGTCATCCTTTTTCAACGGACTCGAGTACCTGACATCGGCGCCATCTTGTCACTCTCTCATTCAGATCTGACTTAAATCCGGGTCGGGCTGTCGAGCAGTGGTGAGGGTGGTAATTCTACAGAGGATAGAAGAGAATAATAACTGATTAGTTTATATCAAACATTATAAATATTAGATATAAATTGTTCAGTGTCAAACACGTAATATAAAAAACGCCTAATTTCACTACTATGTAACCCAGACTTTTGCGTATATACAGGTCGCACTGAAGATTACTGATGTATATGACTTCTTTTCTTATTAATGTCTGTAAACACCATTAAATTTTAATAGAACTTCAGGAAATATATCCTCAACACATAGAAATAAAACACCAAAGCTTAATAGGATATACAAACCTATCACTACGCAACCCGGATCTCCAGTCTCCTACTTGTTTTGTTTGCGGATATCCTGAAGACTTCCTTATTTTCGTCTCTTTTCTGCACGGACAGCCTCATTTAGAGCGGTAATTTGATGAGAGAGGGAGATGGTGTCCTCTTTTATGTGATTATTAATAGTTTGGGTAATGTCGAAGGCTGGAAATGAATAATATGAGGCGAGTTGAGTGGGGGTAGTAAACAATGGGCGTGTGTGGGGATGAGGTCATTGTTATTGTTATTTGTTATTGTGTTATTGTAATTTTCTCTCATTTTGTGGTTATTGTTTGGCTTTCAGCGTTGCGGAAGTGCGAGTTGCTAGGGCGGGGAGGTCAGGCAGGTGTCGCTGGGACGGTTTGAAAGCTTGTTTTAGGTATTTTCTTGCCTAATAAAGACTTGTTTCGTTGTTGGAATAATTTTGAGATAGTGGGTACAAGAGACGTTTTCGTAATTTTTATTTTTTTATATATGCATTTTAGAGGAAGAATGGGATGACTCTTAATCAGTCATGCTCATTGTTACTCTCGCTATCATTTTCACTTTCACTTCACCTTCACTCTCACCCTCCTCTCTCTCATTTCCACCTTCACTTTCACGTCACCTTCACTCTCTCGCCTACTCACTCTCCATTTCACTTTCAATATCACTCACTCACACTCATTCACTCACACACTCATTCACTCACACTCATTCACTCACTCCCTCACACTCATTCACTCACTCCCTCACACTCATTCACTCACTTACACTCATTCACTCACTTACAATTCACTCACTTACGCTCATTCACTCACTTACACTCACATTCATTCATTCACTCACTCACTCACTCACTCACTCACTCACTCACTCAATCAATCAATCAATCAATCAATCAATCAATCAATCATCAATCAATCACTCACTCACTCACTCACTCACTCACTCACATCACTCACTCACTCACTCACTCACTCACTCACTCACTCACTCACACTCCTCACTCACTCACTCAACACCCACCCACTCACTCACAAAACCACACACTCACACACTCACACACTCATGCACACACACATGCATACTCACACACACTCACTCACTCACTCACACTCACACTCACACTCACACACACACACGCACACGCACACGCACACGGCACACGCACACACACACACACACACACACACACACACACACACACACACACACACAAACACACACACACACACACACACACACACACACACACACACACACACACACTTGTTTATATTTACATTTGCATATGCTTATGTACCTAATATTTATTCTGTGGATGTACAGTACATGCATACACATACACATAAGTTGGGTGAAACAGAACAAGGAAGGTAAACATTAAATGATGCATATACTTGACCAACAGATCCTATAGGTCATTAGTACAGGTTTTGTTCATCATTACCATCATAAATAAGTACGGGGAATAACAGGGAGGAGTTGATGTACATTCTTACCGGCTGCAAGATTTTTTGTGTTTTTTAAAATCAAAATCTTGCTATAGTTCTATGTTTGGAAACCATTACTCCAAGTAAGAGTGGTTGTTATTTGCAAAGGGATTGTAACTGTTGGTAATGGCTTCTTGTACAGGTCCATGTATTAGAGAGGATGTTCTCCTCTTTAGGAAATGTCTTCCTTTTTAATGATATTTCTATATATCAATCTAGCTAGTTTACCTTAGTTCATCTAGGTTTGTATGTCTCATTTTAGATTTAATTTCATCTATTTCTCTCTTTCCAGATTTACCAATGAGTTTTACAGACGTGAGCAATGCGTCTTACGTGAGAAACGGCCCATAGCCTCCTCAAGCGTGTCATGGAGGGTTACCCTTCAAAGGCGCAAGGGGACGTTTTTGATCAGGGTAATCCCTCTCAACACTTTGGTTCGGCATCAACAGCCGTTCCTGCCACACAGACCATTAACACTGCTGTGACCTTCATAGGCCAGACACACTCCTCATCTGGACAAGTAAGTTTAAGTCAAGCTTTGTTGTTTATTGACTGGTAGTGCCCTCAGATGTTGAAATGACAGATTTGATAACTTGTAAATCTGATGATGTCAAAGGGATAATGTGACTTTTTCAGTTCTTCCTCTCTTTTGTTAATGAGTGAATGTGGAGTAGTACTATTAAAGTAATTATAAGTGAAATGTGATTATAGAAACTTACCATAAGTTAGGTATGTAAAATGTAGTTACTTCAGGTTTAACAAGATATATGACTTGTAATACACATTGCAAGAGATTGTGAAAGTAAAGTTTTGATAAGGCCAAGCCTAGATATTTTGAATATCCCATAACATGATAAAAAGAAATTGAGTCTATGATTGATACATTTTTAAACAATAGTAGTTGGTATTGAGCTTTAAAGTTTTTACTTCTCCAGAACACTAGAGAGAAGTAAGTTAGTGCTTATTGTATTGACTAATAGAATATAATTAGTGCAAATTTATTTCCTGCATAATTTGCTTCAGAATAGTTATAAATTTGTTAAAAGTTTTTATGTTGTCACCTAAGATTAGGAATAATTAAGATATGGGAATCTCCTATTTTACTGTGTCTGATTAAGAAATCAGAAAAGCAGGACTTTAAATTCCTCGTTATATTAAGAATATATGGAGTTTATGCTGTTCATGCTGTATTTTATGGCAAATCACTATCATACTAAACTTGACAAGAATCAAGTAGAGTAGAATGAGTTTTGTAGTTATCCTTCTAAATTCAATTAGATTATTTGTATAACTTGATTTTGCTTAATTTTTAAAAGTAGCTATATAGCATTATGATCATGTGTGCTTCTTGCACCTCAGAGTTATCTGCAAATATGATCGAATGGAGGCGCAACTGCTGTGAATAAATATGCATTTTTTAAAAGAGGAGAAGAGTATGCACACCAAGGAGTATTTTGTTTTATTTTATTGATTTTTTCTCTCCTGTATAATGGTAATTAGCATTTTTGTGTATATTTGTCAAACATTCAGTTCTGCAGAATGTATTTGACAAAAAAATCTCAGTTATTGATGCCAACCATTTAAAAATGATGTACCATCTGTTCATATCCTGAAAGATGTAAAAAATCTGTGCTTGTCATGAAAGGAATTTGCCATCTGTGTTTGTCATGAAGGACATTTACCAGCTGTGCTTGCTTTGGTCATGGCCCAATGAAACCTGATACCCCAGTGAGAAAGTTTGTGTGTTGTTAGAGATGACTGTTGCCTCAATAGCTTGTTGATAGAAATGTAAATTTTTTATGTACATAATTTTTTATGGACAGATTTTTTATAGTTGTGATATTGTTTTGTTGAACCCATTTAGGTCAAAAGTGTGAAAATAGGAGTGACATTTTTGTGCTTGTATCTAGCTTTTGTTGAAACATAATCCAGATTATTCATATAATGAAACTGTGTGAAGAAGCATATTAGGTGGCAGTGTAGAATATAGTTACTGATGATCTGTTTCTCAGCTTCTGCTCTATGGAATTCTCTTTTGAGTTGACAAATACACAGAAAGGGAAACATAGTTAAATTTGTCCTTATGATCAAATTAGGTAATATGTGATATTTATATGTTATTTGAATATTGGCTAGAGCTTCATTTAACGGAAGTATAGCATCTGTTTTTTCAAAACTAATGATAAAGAACTTTTTGAAACAATTTGAAGTATCTTGTAATGTAAAAAAACATCTCACTGATATAGAGAATTTTCTCTGCTAATGTAATTTTAAGGGCTGAAATTAATAGCTTTATTAAGAAAAAACATATTTTATTTTCTATATAAACTCCTTTACATTCAGCTCCTGAAATGCTAAATTCCAAGAAGTGCCAGCAAATCTATTCAGTTCATAAAGGTAGGAAGGAAAGTTCACAAAACCCAGCAAACATCAGAACTCATACTCGGACACACTACCATCCCCAACAGCTGGAGGGTAATGCAGGAGCAATGGCCACCCCAGGGACGAGCCTACAGGATGACTTTAGGGGAGAAGCCAGTGTGGGAGGGAACACAGGACGCAAGAAGAAGAAGAAGCAGAAGAGTGGCGAAGAGACATCAGGAAATTCGGTCAAACCTGACCTGATGGAAGAGGATGAGCTCGTTGACGCTGCGATTCCAATGCTAGCTGAGAATCAAGGTAGGTTGACCTTTTTGCTTCTTTGTCTTATAGTATCATTATAGATATAAGAAGATACAAAGACAAGTAGAAAATTCCAAAAGAGATACGAGAGAAGAACAGTCTTTCAAAAGTAATATCCAGTTATACAAAACAATCAATTGGTTCTGCTCTTTCAGGTGTTGAAGAGCTGCTTTATCCTGCCTCACTGCCTCCTGCAGGTGGGACATTAGTTGGTGGTCAGTACCTCCTCAACAATGCCCTTCTGGATCAGATCCTTGCAGAAAAGAAAATGGTGAGAGACTTTTGGTTTCTTTTTAGATCATTATGGGTAGAGAACGTGTTTTAAAATAGGCTTACAAAGAATAGTATATTATCATGCGCACACATAATTTTGTGTTTGTTTGTGTGTATGGGCTTAGGTGTGGGTGGGTGGGTACAGGTGTGGGTGGGTGGTTGGATGCATGTATGCGTGTGTGTGCCATTTTGAACTATTTTCTCTCGTAGAAAATACACAAAGTAAAGACAGTATATTTATGGTATGATTCAGTGGCCAACATTTAGATTTTGGTTCTTACTCTACAATATTGACCCCTCGTTCAACGAGATGTAATACTTTTACGTAGCACCTAGTTATGTAGAATATTAATCACAGGTATGAGTTACATATATCTTTTCCTCTAGCATATCACTGCAATTTCACCATTTGTCTCCTTTATTGTGCTCATTTTGATTATGGTGTCAGATGTTCAGTATATAGGCTAATTTTTTTCCATCTTTATTGCAGCAACTCATGCAAAGTCCAGAAGTGATGGATTCTTGAAGAAACAGATAGCCTGCCAAGAAATAAGAGAAATCTTCACTTGTTAGATGGATAGCTTTGTGTGAGAAAGGTTTTCTTTTCTTTTTGACTGTATAGCCAATTATTTATGCCTTTTATTTATGACTGTGGATAATCTGTTGGTAAAAACTTAGCTTGTTATCAGATGGTTTGGTTATTTGGATCTGAATGACAGGTGGTATATGTAAAGGGTTATCTTGTTTTTTAGTTTGTTTAATTGAATTGTATTCGTATACAGCTTGATTGGGATACTATAGGGAATATCTATGGCTATTATCAAGAAGATAGTTTTTTTCATATATGTGTTATTTTTGTGGTTAATTACCCTCATCCTTTGACTGCCTTCAATAGCTCTTTTTACAAGTGATTTTTCCTAAGAGAGCTATATACTTAAAGGATCTTTATGCTTCTTTCAAAACAATTTTCCTGATTTTTACTTTAAACCCAACCAGTTTTGATCACCTTTCTTTACTTCATTTCCTTGGTGATAAACTCTTGGTATGTCACTTGCAGTCACTGTATAGTACTTTGCTACCAAGTGTGTAAATGCTATCGTGCATAGAGTTTTGAAATGCTTTAGATGAAAATCAGTTTGAAAGTTACACCACTATGGTCAAAAGTTATATAACTCACTTTTGGCATACTTTTTAACATATTTTCCATTCCCTTGTCTTTTATGGTCAAATAGTATGGTGGAGTCTATGTTTTTCATAATTTATTGCATTGCAGGATTACAATATGAACTTTTGAAAGCTCTTGATTCCTGCCTTCTATAAGGATATTATCCACTTTAGTTGGGGTGTCATGAGGCACCACCCTACTCAGTACTGCCAAGGGACATTATCAAGGGACATTAGCCTGCTGATGCTCAGGGATTCTAGATTTTTTTTGCCAACCACAATTTCTTCCTCTTACATAGTTAGCAGTGGCTCCTCTCCCTTTGCCTCAGTATGCTTCACAAAGCACCAGGACGCCATGATCTTAAGTCTGTGTGCTGAAAAGGGGAAGAAAGTCCTTTGGATTACATTACTTTCTGCATCATAGGGACATCTGTCATGACTTGCCTCGTGACTGAATAGCAGCTTTAAGCTTGCACAACCTTGGATACTCTTCTTATGACTGTCTTGCCACTCATAGGTGTGACATAAAATGAATTTCTTCAGATTAGTGTGACTTTGGAAATCAGATGAACAACAGTGTGTCCTTGGTAAGCCTTTGGGTTTAGGTCTCACTTTTCCTTGTTATGCCTGTGTCTCAGGATTTCCATATTATCTAGTATGGACTCATAAGTTTGGTGTGTTTGTTTGTTATACTCTAGTGTGTTTTAAGAGCTCTTGTAAAAATTGAACAGGTAATAAATAGGAAAGTAAGATTTTATCATTATGTTGCAGGAGTTGTCATGATATAACAGATGAATTGAAAAAAATCTAATGTAGGAGATGGGTTTGTGAATGACTGTTTAGGATTATTATAACAGCAGTAACAACTAATCAAAACTAAAAGTAAATCTCATGAAAATATAACAATGTAGTTAATAATATGCCTAAGAAAAAAATTAAAGCCAGGTTTGTGTAGGTGATACTCCAAAATAAAAGGCAAGCTATTGGCAAAGTTTAAATTTACCACTTTGAAAAACCTTTTTCTAGTTGTTTCTCATAGTATGCATGCTTGTCAAATTCCAGTTATAGAAATTGTTCTCATACAATTTTTCTTGAGTATGGTGGGCTTTGCTCCCAAATTGTTGCAGTATCAGATTTTTTTTATGAAATAGTTTCTTGACATTTTATCCCTTTCTATACGAAGTACTTTCCAAACATTGTAAGTTTTTCACCTGCACTAAATACCTGATATAAGAAAAAGAAATTATGAAGTGGGGATACAATCTTCATACAAAATATGGCTTAGAGTAGAGACAGTACAAATCAGGAAATACAAAGTGTACACAGAATATCCAATACAGTAGAAACTGTATAGGTACATTTTGGAGTATATTTGACATACAGAATACCTAATTCAGTAGTGAATCTATTTGTATATTGTGGGAAACAACATCTCATACCATTGGAATCAAGATGAGAGATAGTTATTCCGACTCGTGTTTTTAAGATATTGGTGCCAGGTAATCACACTGTCCATAGCCGTTTTCTTTTGTGCAGTTTCTTTACATGTAGATGGCTCCACAAGCTCTCACTGACGAAGAAGTCAACGAGTAGGCCTGCGTGACTTCTTCGCCTGATTTCCCATTTCGTTAAGTTTTGAGAAGAATCTTTGTTTTTTAATGTTACTAATACCAATACTGTTGTTATTATTATTATTATTATTGATACACTAATTATGATATTGTTAATAATACAAATAGCAATAAGAAATAGAAAAGAATCTTTCTGAAATTGAGGAAAAAGGTAAACAGGTGAAATAGGTACAACTACCAAGTGACTTCTTGGTGACTAAGCACTTGTGGAGCCAGCTATGTGTAAATGTAATCAATAAACTAAAAGCATTGTGGACATGGCATGTATTTTTGCTATCTAAGAATCTTTGGGTTTAGAAATTACTTCAGGTCTTGAAGATGATAGACAAAGACTACCTCAAGTATTGGTGGTATAGTTGTGTACATCAATTATTAATTTCCTGCTTCTTCAGTGAATTAAGATTTTAAAAGTCTGTGTTAAAATTGGCCTCTCCCTCAAAGTGGAGTAATTATTATCACAGTTTTTACAAAGACAGTTCTTTGTAATATTTATATTATTTGGTAAATTTTGCTTTGATTAGTCTCTGTATGGCTTTTATTTTTATTTTCATTCTTTTGTTATTGATATTAATTTTGATGAGTGCATAATGAAAATATTGGCATTATTTTTATTATTATTGTTTTGCTATAGTTATTTTTGACTCTTAGCATTTATATTTCGTAATGTATAAAATTTAAATTTAAATGTAAGTAGGACCTATGTTATCAGCCTTTTTTTTCCGGAGGAATATATAAAATTTTAATGTGCCATGAAGTCTTTTGTAGAAAAAATTCAAAGCTGTCATATTTTCCAAGGGAATAATGAAAACAATAACATGTTGCAAATAGTTAATAAGTAATATTTCACTGTCTTAACTCTTACATTTTGGTCAATACTGAAATATTTAGGATGTGACTGAAGTGGCACAGTGAAAAAGCATCTGATATACATAATTTTGAGAATTGTATATACATGAAGTTCATTGCAAGTTTATAATTCTGTAAGTGCCATTACTGTAACATTTATTAGAATTCATTTGTTTTCTACTAATTCTGTTGTATTTGTATATAATACACAATGACTGTACTTAATATTTTGTATATTATTTATATGTGCATCATAACAGGTAATAAATGTAAGTTTTTTGTCAGTTTTTACTTCATTAGTATTATCTAACCATATACGGAAATTATACTTATTCAGCTGGGGGGGAGGGGTTAGGAGATGGAGACTGAGGCCCAATGTAGGGGATTACTCCTACCTTGGACCTCCACTCTCCCCTCAACTAATTTTGCTTGTTTTTTCTTCTCCCTCTTCCCTTCTCTCTTCTTCTGTCCACTCTATAAGGTATGAGAGCCATGTATAAAGGATGAAAGGCTGACCGTGTCAGTCCGTAGCAGCCTTCTTACCTTTCTTTCTTCACTATCTGGCATCTATCATGTTTTGTTCTATTTATTAATTCATTTTTACCATTTTCACCACAATCCTTTATCATAGTACTTTATGAACTTAACTTACCTGGGGGCTTTTCCCCCCCAAGCCTTACCATATCACTATATGTTAATATATACTGTGATTGACCTTAAAGGAGCATTCCGAATGATAAAGTTAATACACGTTTCCTTGCACTTTTATCACATTTTTTCTTTGAAAAATTGTGTTGATAGATGGCTTACTTACTCTATTCATGATATAATAGCATATGTTTCAAATAAGATTGAAATCAGAACGCTCATTTGTAATCAATATTATTACAAAATATAATTGGTCTAAATTGCAGCAGTGTTGCTTTTACTTGTCTCTGAAAACGAGGATGGAAGGATAATGACTATGCTATTGTTAAAGGATTTTATTGTTAAAAGGCAGAGGAAGGCACCAGTTTGAAGAATGTTATTAATTTTTTTTATAACAAGTTGTATAATACATTAATAAATGGACTTGTGCGGCTTTTTTAAATTTGGGTTTGGCAGAGTGGAAGAGAAAAAAAAAAAATCTTAAAACTAACAACTTTGGCACTAGATATTGGGCCTATAGGCTGTAACATGAATAAATCCATGATATAAGAAATAACAAACAGGAAACAGATATTTATAATTACTTTTGTATATCCTTATTTCTCTCAAGCTTTAACAAAAGTAGCAAGAACATCAAGTCAAAAAATTTTAATTTGATAAAAAAAACCAATTCTATTTATATTTTCATTTGAAAATATGAAAAGCTAATCTCAGATTACAATATTAATAGAAATACATGAAACAAATGTTCATTTTAATATTGCAAGCATTTAACACTGAGAATCTTTGACAAAAATATATGTCATGGTTTTAACAAAGTAAATACAATGGTTCCAATAAAGAAATTCTTCTCAAAACTAATTTTCTAGAAAGTGATCTGGTTAATTCATGTTACATATAATTCACCATATCTTTCTAAAAATTCTGAACACATGTTTTTGTGTAAACAGTCTAGAAAATACACAAAAGAACACTTAATAATAAAACATTAAATACTGTTACATTTCATTACACAATTAGAAAATTAACCAGTGGGGCTCACATCTTCACAACCACGATGAACAATACAGGAGCACCATTATGACTTTTTTTTTTTTTTTTTTTACCTTTTTTCAATATACATTGTATTATTTTTGCATTTCAGGTATATTAGGTTAATTTAAGCTTCAGTGTCTAATTATTTTCATTTTTCTGAGAACCTGTTATCTCTAAAACCTACTGATAAGCTTCTATTTTA